GCTACCCGGATGGCCTGGAAGTCCTCTCTTCACTCTAACTTCAATTCATCCTGCTGCAAAGCAACTTCTTTCCTTCATCTCTTCAAAAGCTCAGGTTACTTGCTGCCAAAGGTCAAGATCTTATAAAATGAACTTTTTTTTTTTTTTTTGAGATGGAGTCTCACTCTGTCACCCAGGCTGGAGTACAGCGATGAGATCTTGGCTCACTGGAGCCTCCATCTCCTGAGTTTAAGCATTTCTCCTGCATCAGCCTCCCGAGTAGCAGGGATTATAGCTAGGTGCACCACCATACCCAGCTAATTTTTGTATGTTTAGTAGAGATGGGGTTTCACCATGTTGGTCAGGCTGGTCTTGAACTCCTGACCTCAAGTGATCCGCCTGCCTCTGCCTTCCAAAGTGCTGGGATTATAGGTGTGAGCCGCCATGCCTGGCCTGTAAAATAAACTTCTAAAGTCAATTTTCTGACTTTCTTGACCTTTTCCCCGACCATTCCTGAGATGAAACTGACCAGGGGCCACAAAGCCTGCTCAGGACTAGGACTAAGTTATGGACCTCGGGGAAGAGCAGAGGAACCCTCCTTACCCACTGGGCATGACACCCACCCCAACTGCCCAGCTGGGCAGCTCCAGACTCCTCCAGGGTTCCTGAGCCCCACTACTCTCCCAGCTGGTAGAAACTGGGGAGCCCTTTCCCATCCTCCTTTCCTGAATCTCGGAAGAAAGAGCAAGGCCCAGGCCCTTCCACACCTCTTCCTCAGGGGCGTCTCACTGTGTGCCATTGCCTGCCCTCACCCCCTAGTCTCCAGCCTCTCCATCCACATGTTCACACAGGCCTGACCCCTCCCCAGCCACCTTCATCACTCCCCAGCCCTTCTCAGCCACGCCTCCTGCAAGAACGTTCTCCACCTCAGGCCCCACTCACTCCCCTCCACCTCTCACCTCGGGGTGCTCCACCTTGTCACCCTGCTCTTCTCCTTCTTTGGAAAGCTCCTCCTCAGAATCTTATCTGCCCACTCTGCAGACCCAGGCTTGCCCAAGGAGCTGGCTCAGGCTTCATCTCTTCTCTCTGGACGTCTCTCCTATAGTGTCCAGCTCCCACCAGCTCCCACAGCGCCAACTCCATCACCAAGGACTCCCACATCTGTCTCCAGCTACTATGATGTCTCCCCTAAGCCTTTTTTTTTTTTTTTTTTTTGGAAACAGTCTGCTCTGTCGCCCAGGTTGGAGTGCAGTGGTGCGACCACAGCTCACTGCAGCCTCAAACTCTTGGGTTCAAGCCATCCTCTTGTCTCAGCCTCCCAAGTAGCTGGGACTACAGGTGTAAGCCACCACACTGGACTAATTTTTAAGATTTTTAAGAGACAGGGTCTTGCCATGTTGCCCAGGCTGCTCGAGAACTCCTGGGCTCAAGTGATACTCCCACCTCGGCTTCCTGAGTCTCAGACTCTTGTGTTCGGCTATCAGCCGAGCATGTCCCCTGGCTGTCCCTCAGAGATCCCACCCAAACTGCTGTCATTATCTTCTCCCTCATTACCTGCTTCTCCCCAACCCAAGTGCCCTGTACCGCCAGGTGCCAAGACCAAAAATCTGAGCATCACTTCTGTTGTTGTTTATTTTTGTTTTAAGAGTAAACATCACTTCTGACCCTCCTTCCTTACAGTAAACCCTCTATGCCTTGGTGTACCCTTCTTTTCAGCCAACTCAACCCCTACTCATCACCTTTCTTGAGTGCCCTTGTACAGTAGCCAACCTGCACAACTGTACGTGACATCTCTCTTCCTTTCCCCCAAACTTCCAACCTTATCCTGTGGACTCTGCCTCCTCTATTTCTCTCACTGCTGTTCCTTCCCCTCATTTCCCACAGTCTCACCCTAATGCAGACCTTGTATTCTCCCAAAACTCAGCCCAGCGCCTGGCACATCCCTGTCACTAAGTAAAAGTGTGTTAAATTAAGTGGCCACATTCTCTCCTGGATGATCATAAAAGTCTCTTGCCCAGTTCCCCAGCCCCAGCTTCTCTCTGTTTTCTCGACATAGCCTATAGAGACTCCCACAAGGCTTCTAACACCTTGGGCTGCATCTGGATGACTGGGACAGCCTATCACCATGCAGGCCCCATCCAGATTCGGTAGGTGTGGGATAGAGCCTAACATCTGCCTCTCTAATGAGCTCCCAGGGGATGCTGACGCTGCCTGTGAGCCACACGTTGGCACGGTTCTGCCCATGGCTCTCCCCTGCTCTGGATTTTCCAGTGGCTTCCTGGTACCAGCAGGATAAAGTCCATGTTATTCTGCAATTCACATGGCTTCCTGGAGGAGAAGGCATGCTTTAGACTCAGTAGAATGTGGACCAGTTAGGAAGGAGCGGGTAGAGAGATGGATGTTGAGCCCAGCAAAGCCCTGAGGTCACGTTTGGAGGCACACACTCTGGGTCTAAGAGTCATGTGGGTAAGGAGAGGGCCAGGGACCAGCTCAATGCAGGAGCCACCAGAGTGTCCCTCCTTCCATGGCTCTGTGTCACTGAACCCAGGCCTTTGCCTCCTGTGTGTCTCCGGCATCTCTCTCTGTGTGTCTCTCTCCTGTCTCTGTATCACTATCCCACCTGTCCACCAATCTCTGTCATTGTTTGTCCTTTTCTGTCCTCTACCATGTCCTGTGCCTAGGTCCCTTTCTGGGTTCCAGGCTCTGTAAATCTCTAGCTGTTGGTCACTGGGCGGGACCCTTGGGAAGGCCAGCACTGACAGTCCACACCTGCTCGTGTTAATGTCAGGTCTGGGTCTGACCTCCCTGGACAATGCCTGAGCAGCTCCACAAGGTCTGGGAAGGTACTTGGGGGGGTCCAGCCCATGAGCTGAGCTCTCTGTCTGCTGTGCAGATGAGGACTCCCCCAAAGCCAAAGAGGAGCCTGGAATCTGGGAGCTGGAGTGTGGAGGGAGGTGGCCAGATCAGGGCAGGGCTCCCTGCGGGCCACCTTCTCACCCAGGTTGAAGGCAGGAGAGGAGTGCTGCCTTCTGCCCACCTGGTCTGCCCTACCAGACTTCAGTTCCACCTAACAGTCCCAACATCCGTCATCCCTGCGAGTGAGGCTCCCAGACCACCAAGTGGCCTCAGTTTCAGAAGTAGCATAAGGAGGCTTGAAGGAGAAATCAGAGTTCAACAGGCCCATGCGGGCAGGTGGCGGTGGGACAGTCCAAGCCGAAATCAGAGCAAATGACTGGATGAGGAAGACTTCCAGGGTAGGGGGGCATCCAAGGGGCAGTGAACCTGGGGCTCTGGAACTCGGGAGAGAGACATGGGCTAGAGGTAAAAATACAGGTTCGTGGCCGGGCCCTGTGGCTCATGCCTGTAATCCCAGCACTTTGGAAGGCTGAGGCGGGCGGATCACAAGGTTAGGAGATCGAGACCATCCTGGCTAACACAGTGAAACCCTGTCTCTACTAAAAATACAAAAAGTTAGCCGGGTATGGTGGCGGGCGCCTGTAGTCCCAGCAACCCGGGAGGCTGAGGCAGGAGAATGGCATGAACCTGGGAGGCGGAGCTTGCAGTGAGCCGAGATTGCACCACTGCACTCCAGCCTGGGCGACAGAGCGAGACTCTGTCTCAAAAACAAACAAACAAACAAACAAAACTACAGGTTCATTGGTGGGGTTGCTGCAGCCTGGAGGAGGCCCACGGACTCCCCCTTGGGGAACATGCCTACATTTAGGGAGTGAAAGGAGCCCACCACAGCCCTGGGCTCCTCCCCCAACACCCTAGGATCCAGACACCCCAGATGTCTCACTGCCTCCCTTTCCCTGCCTTTTCCTGCGTGATCCTCTCTGCTGGGTTGCTCTTTCTATCTTTTGCCTCCATGGAAACATATTAGTCCTCATTTAAGACCCAGTTCAAATGCCTCCTCCTCCAAGCAGCCTTCCCTGCCTCCCTCAGGCAGAACAGCTCCTTCTCCTGGGCACCCACCTGCATGAAAGCACCTCTTCCCCACCCCCACCTCCCTCCTGCCTGAGGCGGGCACAGGGCATGTGTTCAATGAAGCCTGTAGCCCAGGGACTCCAGGTCCAGGCCTCTGACAAACCCACCTCCCTCGTCCAGCCAAGCCCTCAGGTGGCTCATCGCAGGGCCACTTTCTCTTTGTTGCTCTTCCTGAGTCCTTCTTGGTTCTGGGCTGGAGGGGTATTGAACCAAACCTCCCTCCTGCAGGTGACCAAGTCCCTGGCCTCTGCCCATCTCTGAGTCTAGGTTCTCTGCTGCTCCCCTAGGGAGGAGCATCTCGGGACAACAAAGTGCCCAGGAAGGTAAGAACAGTAGGGCAGGGGCAGAGGTAATAGAAGAGGCCTGGCAGTGGGCAGGCCCGAGGGCAACCATGTACCCTCAGGCAGGTAGCCAGGCAGCTGGTCCTTCCCCACCCAGGGGCTCGGGCCTCAGCTGGGGCCGTCGCTTGCCTCCCGGCAGAGGCCTTGAGCTTCTGATGGGAACTGGACATCCGAGGGCCCCCACAGACCCAGCCACCCCCAGGCCTCAGGCAGGGGCAGGCGGGGCCTCCTCAGCCTCCAATCCCTCACCTTCTGGTTCACATTTGCAGCCTTTTCCGGAGCGCCACCCGCCGCCCGCTGCCTCCCCACGCCTGCCAAGATTCCTGGGCCTCTGCGGCTACCCTGCGTGGTGGCGGCGGCAGCGGCAGCAGGAGGGGCTGGGCTGGGCAGGGAGGGGGCCCGGCGGGAGCACAGCCAGGCCACTGCACCCAGGCTGGGCCAAGCAAACACGGCCCCGCCAAGGAGCCAGGCGAAATAGTTCACAAATGAGAAAAAGCTGCTTCCGAGTTGGGCCAGGGTTTTAAAGCCCAGGCTGCAGGGAGCTGAGGTCACCTGCAAAAAGGGTGGCTCACCGGACACCCTGGGCCTGGGAAGGCTTCCGGTGAAGCAGGAGGGAGTGAGGTTAGACAGCAATGAACACAGGCCTCATCTGGCCTGGGATATCAGAAAACCCCATCCCCAAACCTAGCTTACCTTTCAGGTCGGAGGGGCCTGGGAAGGTCCCAGCAGAGGCAGGGCCTGAGGATGAACAAGAGAAACAGTGAGGCTACAGGGCAGTGGCTCACGCTTGTAATCCCAGTACTTTGGGAGGCCAAGGTGGGAAGACTGCTTGAGTCAGGAGTTTGAGACCAGCCTGGGCAATATAGGGACACATTGTCTCTACTAAAAATTTTTTAAAAATTAGCTGGGCATGGTGGTGCACACCTGTAGTCCCAGATACTTGAGAGGCTGAGGGGGGTGGTATTGCTTGAGCCCAGGAGTTCAAGACTGCAGTAAGCTACGATTGCACCACTGCACTCTTGAGACAGGGCAAGACTCTGTTTAGGAAAAAAAAAAACAAAAAGGGAGGAACAGTGTGAGACAATGACATCAGGAGCCTGGGAAGCCTCCTGCCCTAACCCACAGCCACACCAGTGCCTGCCCTGGGCTTCTTACCAGAAACCCCTGCTGGAAACCCAGCCCCAACCTCAGTCTCTTCTCAGTTCCCTCCTCCCCTGAGGGAAGCAGGGTTTGTGCCCTCATACTCCACGACTCCATTCATTCAATGCACACTTAGCAATACCCACGGGGTGCCTGGCCCTGGATTCACGGAGTTCCTCCTGTCCTAGAGTCCAGGCTGAGGATGCCCCTTCTGTGTCCCAGGTTCCCATGCTGGAGAAGTCCCTCTCATATGTCAGTTCTGGTTTGGGGTGGCCCCTACTTTGGGTTAGGATCCCTGCTGGGGAAGCTTCTACTATATGGAGGACCCAAGCCTGGGCCATGGACCACAGAAGTGGTTCAACCCCATACCCTGCCCTGCCTTGTCCTGAAGGGCTGGGGGCATCAGACAAGCGGTCATCACACAATTGGCAAAGATCTCTGGGCTGTGGGAGCATGAAGCAGGGAACACTGCTGCCTTAAGCTTCCCCTGAAGGCTTCATGGAGAAAGGGACACTGGAGCTGGGTCCTGAAGGATGAATCGGAGTCTGAAAGGCAGACGAGGTGGCAACAGGAATTTCAGGTAGTAATATACAGGGAAGGTCCAGAAGTGCTGTGGGACGGGGAGGCTGGGGCAATATGGTGAGGAAATCTGAATGCTATGCTTGCATTTCTCTGGAGAGCAATGGGGAGCCATCGAAGGTTATTTTGTTGGGGAAGTGATGTGGTCAGGGCCCTGGATGGCTGGGTCCCCATTTCTGCCTTAATCAGGTGTGGTGCCAGGATCTAATAAAAGCCCTACTCCAGGTCACATAGCTATATGCAAAGGATCCGGGGCTAAAGTCCAGACCCAGACATGACTCCGGGGTAGATGGGGAGGGGACGCCCAGCCAGCCCACCTGGCAGGGAGGCCTGTGGGCCGCGTCACTCTCTCCCACAGCTGCTTGCTTGCCTCTGCCTGCTCCCATGGAAACTCTGACATCCAGTCCTGTCTGTAGCTGCACAAGCAGCCAGATGCCAGAGCCAGCAGCTCCTAGGCCTCCTCTCCAACTCAGCTGAGCCCTGCCTCCATCCTGCCACTCTGAACACTATGACCCTGGAGCTGGGTCATGGGGCCACAGCCTGGATGATGGAGCCCCGGTAGGAGGACCCTCCAGCTCAGCTTAGCCCCAGCTTCTCTGGCCCCAGCCCCCTCCCCACACCATGAGACTCTGGGAGAAGAAATGACTTATGTTGGCTCTGGGCTTTGAAGGATGAACATGGATTTAACTGGTTGGTGGTGGGGAGAGGTGATCAGTCCTGGGCCAAGGGAACAGCATGTGTGAGAGTGTAAAAGCCCTGAATATATTCAGGGGATGGAGAGAATCCAAATAAAATAAACACATGAACTAACTAATCAGAGCTAATATTCATTGTGTACCTACTGTGTGCCAGGTACCGTTCTGGGTGTTCTCATGAATTATCTCATTTAATCCTCACAACAACCCAGTGACAAAAGTATTTCATCTTGCCTTTTTACAGATGAGAAAACTAAGGGCCAGAGAGGTTAAGTAACTGGCCCAATGTCACACAGCTCATGAAAAGTAGAGCCTGGAGCTGGGCACGGTGGCTCACGCCTGTAATCCCAGCACTTTGGGAGGCCAAGGCAGGAGAATCACTTGAGCTCAGGAGTTTGAGTCCAGCCTGGGCAACATAGTGATACCCCTGTCTCTTAAAAAAAAAAAAAAAAAAAAAAGTAGAACCTGAATTTGAACCCTGGCTATGGGCTCCAAAGCCTAGGCTCTTCACCAAACAGATGATTTGAGGAGAGGAGACCTGGCTGGGATCAGACTGAGAAATGCCTTGAATATCAGGATCAGAGATGCGGGTCCTACCTAAAGCTGCTTCCCCATTCCCTTCCCCCATGTTAATGGTCAATAACAATGGTGTCTGCATCCCAAGTTCATTGTATGCACTGGACATAGCACTAGGCACACTCATCAGCACTACTGACTCCTGGAACCCTGGAAGGCTGGAACTGCTGTCCCATTTTACTGAGGAGGAGCACTAGGTGCCAGAGAGGTCACATCCATTCTCTAAGGAAACCAGGCTAGGAAGTGAAGGAGGTGGGATCCGAACCCAGCTCCGCCTGGCCCCCAGGTGGTTAAAAGCCCTGTACACCTGGGCTCCCTGAAGACCTCAGCCATGGGCCCTGCCCCCTACTCCTGCTCTACCCCACCTGTGCTGCCTCAACCTAGATGGCACCAGGGACAGGCAAGGCTGGGAGCAGAGTGGGCAGCTACTATCAGGTGCCTCAGGAGTCCGCTCCAGTGGGCCAAGGCCCCCTTGGTCTTACAAATAGGAAGTGGGGGTGAGTGGGTAAGCCAGGGCGGTGCCTGAGCCGACTTCAATGGGACTCTGTTCTTAACCTCCACCCCCAGCTGCCTTCCCTAATCCCCTCCTGGAGCCCCTCCCCTGGCGACGTCTCCCCTTTGCACAGAGCCTGCTGCTGTTGGCTAAATCCCAGACCAGATGTGGGTGGGACAGTCTGCACCCCCCACCCCCCACGCCCCACCAGCTTCTGAGAGCTGCAGGGTTCCAGGGAGGCTGGCCAGGGCCTCAGGCCCGCTTCCCCATTCCAACTTTCCAGACTGAGGTGCTGATGGCCATGAGGTGAACAATTGGCTCCTGCCAGCAATGGGGCTCATGGGAGAGGTTCCTATTTCTGAGCGCCTACTACGGGCAGGCTCTGGGCTAAAAATCTTTCTTTAAAAATCATGTCGGATTAAGAGGACCTCTCTACATGCATCCTTATCTCAGCGCTAGCTCTTACTAGCATGAGACCTCCATCTGGGCCTCAGCTTCTTCATCAGTGAAATGGGAACTCCAGGCATTATTTACTCCTGTAACCCTGGAAGGCTGGAACCGCTGTCCCATTTTACTGAGGAAGAGCGCTAGGTCCCAGAGAGGTCACATCCATTCTCCAAGGTAACCAGGCTAGGAAGTGAAGGGGGTGGAATCTGAACCCAGCTCTGCCCAGCCCATATAAAGCTGCCAAGCCCAGCTTCACAGAGCATTTGTGAGGATTAAACAAGTTAATTTTGTATAATGGACTCAGAGTAGTGCTTGGCATATATGAACGCTAAATAAATATACCCTATTATAAATATAATCACTGGCCAGGCGCAGTGGCTCACGCCTGTAATCCCAGCACTTTGGGAGGCCAAGGCGGGCAGATCACCTGAGGTCAGGAGTTCGAGACCAGTCTGACCAACATGGAGAAACCCCGTCTCTGCTAAAAATACAAAAATTAGCCGGGCATGGTAGCGGGTGCCTGTAATCCCAGCTACTTAAGAGGCTGAGGCAGGAGAATCGCTTGAACCTGGGAGGTAGAGGTTACAACGAGCCGAGATCGTACCATTGCATTCCAGCCTAGGCAACAAGAGCAAAACTCCGTCTCAAAAAAAATAAATAAATAAAAATAAATAAATAAATAAAATCACCACGACACCTCTCAACAGCCCTGTGAGGTTAGTATTATAAACTTGATTTTACAGATCAGAAACCGAGGCTCAGAGAGATGTCATTTGCCCAAGTTCCCCTAACCAGGGAAGGACAGTCCCAGAGCTTGGCCCCAAGCTGAGCAAGTCCAAAGATGAGGACAGCCTCCTGGCTCCCCCGAGCTGAGGCACGGTGTGTACTGGGGTGGAGGTCGGTCCTCCGCACCCCCTCAGTCCCTCCTGCCTGACCCCCAGGGGTTCCACCCACAATCCAGCCGCTGCTGCCGCTGCAGGAGGGGGCTCTGCATTCCTGGCTAAGCAGCCGGATTTGCTGTGCTCCAGGAACTATGAAAAGAATGCTTGCCATGAGCAGAGCCGTGGTTGCCTGTCAGGGAGCGTGGCCTGGAGTGCCCACGCAGAGCTTGGTGGCAGCCAGCACAGTGGGAAAGAAGGAGGCTAGCCAGAAAGGAGAACTTCCGGGTGGTGGGGGCTGTGGACACTGGACGGGTGTGGAGACCAAAGTGTTGGCCACCTGGGATCTTTCAGGAGAGAAGTGACCCCTCTACCCTGCAATCTAGGTTTCTCCTCACCATAAGCTGTAAGCAGAGGCAGGCTGGCACTGCTGACCCAACTCATGGATGGGGTTACAGAGACTCAGAGGAAAACTCTCCTGAGGTCACACAGCAGCCAGTGGCAGAATTGAGACCAGAGGCCAGGACCCCTGGCTCAGACCCCGCTTCCTCCCAGAGGCTTCCCTTCCTCACAGGACCCACCAGGGACCACCAAGGGTTCCTAGATAATAGAAAATACCATCCCAGCCCTCACGGTTCTGGGCTGTCTCTGGGCCTGACCTTCTCACGCCTGCTATTCCTCCTTTCCCCCTCCACAAAAAAACCCCTGTGCTACGGAAATGCCCCACACACTGGAGACGTACGACAATTAAGATTCCATTCCTTTTGGGAGGCTCAGGCAGGCGGATCACTTGAGGTCAGGAGTTCAAGACCAGCCTGACCAACATGGCAAAACCCCGTCTCTACTAAAGATACAAAACTTAGCGGGCATGATGGTGCGCACTTGTAATCCTAGCTACCTGGGAGGCTGAGGCAGGAGAATTACTTGAAC